GGGAGAGGAGAGAGAGAAGAGAGAGAGAGTAGAGATGAGAAGCGCGAGGAGAGAGAGAGGAGAGAGGAGAGTAGGAGGGGAGAGGAGAGGGGAGGAGAAGAGGAGAGGAGAGAGAGAGAGAGAGACTGAGAGAGAGAGAGGAGAGAGAGAGAGAGAGAGAGGAAGAGAGAGTGAGAGGAGAGAGAGAACGGGTTGAGAGAGAGGAGGAGGGAGAAAGCGGAGAGAGAGAGAGGAGAGAAGAGAGAGAGAGTGGAGAAGATGAGGGAGGAGGAAGAGAGGAGGGGAGGGAGAGGAGGGGGGAGAGAGCGGAGAGAGGAAGAGAGGAGATGGAGGATGAGAGAGAGAAGAGGGAGAGAAGGTGGAGAGGAGAGAGGAGAGAGAGAGAGGAGAGAGGGTGAGGAGAGAGGGGAGGAGATGGGGAGTAGGAGAGAGGAGGGTGAGAGAGAGGAATGGGAGAGATGAGAGAGAAGAGAGAGAGAGAGGAGAGAGAGGAGAGAGGAAGAGGGTGGAGAGAGAAAGAGAGGGAGAGAAGAGAGAGAGAGAGAAGAGAGAGAGGGGAGGGAGAGGAGGAGATGAGAGAGAGAGAGGGATGAGACGAGAGAGAAAGCAGAAAGAGAGAGAGAGCGAGAGGGAGTGTAGAAGAGAGAGAGAGGGAGAGAGAGAGAGAGAGAGAGAGAGGGGGGGGGATGAGAGAGAGAGGAGAGAGAGAGAGAGAGAGAGAGATGAGGAGAGAGAGAGAGGAGGGGAGATGAGGAGAGAGAGGGGGAAGGAGGAGGAGGAGAGAGAAGAGGGAGGGGAGAGAGAGGAGAGAGAGGATGGGAAGGGAGGAAGAGAGAGAGGAGGAGAGTAGATGAGAGGAGAGAGAGAGAGAAGGTGAGAGATGGAGAGAAGAGATGAGGATGAGAGAGGGAGAGAGGGAGAGAGCGGAGAGTGGAGAGAGAGAAGGAGAGAGAGAGGAGTGAAGAGGAGAGAGAAAGAGAGGGAGAGGGAGAGAGATGAGAAGAGAGAGGAGAGAGTGAAGGAGGGAGAGAGGAGAGGTGGAGAGGGCGGAGAGACGAGGAGAGATGAGGAGAGGGGAGGAGGTCAGCAGAGAGAGAGTAGAGTGAAGGAGGAGGAGAGAGGAGAGAGAGAAGAGGGAGGGAGTGAGGAGGAGAGGAGGGGAGGAGAAGATGTGAGAGAGGGAGATGAGAGGAGAGAGAGGATGAGGAAGAGGAGGAGAGAGGGAGAGAGAGGAGAGAGAGGAGAGAGAGAGAGAGAGAGAGAGTAGCAGAGAGCGAGGAGGAAGGAGAGGGAGACTCATTCTGTGAGAGAGAGGGACGGGAGAGAGAGAGAGTAGAAGGAGAGAGGGGAGAGGAGGAGAGTGAGGAGAGAGGAGTTGAGAGAGGAGGGAGAGAGGAGAGAGAGAGGAGAGAGGAGGGGAGAGGAGGAGAGAGAGGAGGAGAGAGAGATGGAGAATGAGAGAGTGAAGGAAGAGAGAAGAGGGGAGATAGGATGAGAGGGAGAGGGAGAGGGAGAGGGAGGTGAAGAGGAGAGGGAGGAGGAGGAGAGAAGAGAGGAGAGTGAGAGAGGAGAGGAGAGAGAAGAGAGAGAGAGAGGAGGATGCCTGAGAGAGAGAGAGAGAAGAGAGAGAGAGTGAGAAGGAGGGCGAGAGAGAGAGAGAGAGAAAGAAACGAGAGAAAGGAAAGGAAAGGAAAGAGAGAGGAAAAAGAAAGATGAAAATGAACGGAAGAGAAAGAAGAAGAAGAGAGGAAAAAGAAGAGGGGAAAAGAGAAAGAGAAAAAGAAAGACGGGAGAGAAGAAAAGAGTGAGAGAAAGAAAGAAAGTAAGAGAAAAGAAAGAAAGATTGAGATACAGAAGAAAGAGATGTTGAGTGAAGAAAGAAGGAGAGAGTGGAGAGGAGAGAGGGGAGACGGAGAGAGAGAGAGAGAGAGAGAGGAGATGAGAAGGAGATGAGAGGAAGGGACGAGGAGATGAGGGAGAGAGGAGAGAGAAGAGAGAGAGGGGGGAGGGATGGGAGAAGAGGAGATGAGAGGAGGAGAGAGGAGGATGGAGGAGGAGGAGGAGAGAGAGATGCTGAGAAGGAGAGATAGAGTGGAGAGGAGAGATGAGGAGAGAGAGAAGGAGGAGGGAGAGAGGAGAGGGAGAAGAGAGAGAGAGTGGAGAGGGGAGAGAGAGAGAGGGGGAGGGGAAGAGAAGAGGAGGAGGGAGGAAGAGAGAAGGGGGAGGAGAGAGAGGAGAGAGAGGCGAGAGTGAGAGAGGTGAGGAGAGGGCAGGAGAGGGAGAGAGGGAGAGGAGGAGAGAGAGGGAGAGGAGAGAGAAGAAGAGAGAGGAGGGGGAGGAGAGGAGAGGGAGAGGAGAGAGAGGGGGAGAGGGAGAAGAGGGAGAGGGAGGGAAGGAGAGAGGAGGGAAGGGGAGGAGAGGGGGATGAATGACGAGAGAAAGGATGGATGAGGAGTGAGGAAGAGAGGCGAGAAGAAGGAGAAGGAGGAGAGAGAACGAGGAGAGAGAGGAGAAGAGAGGAAGAGAGAGGGAGGAAGAGGAGAGAGAGAGAGAGAGAGAGGGGGAGAGAGAGGAGGAGAGAGAGAGGATGGAGAGGATGAGGAGATGGGGAGAGAGGAGAGAGAAGGGGGGAGAGAGGGGACGAGAGAGGAGAGAGACGAGACGAGAGGGAGCGAGGGGAGGAGTGAGAGAGAGGAGGGAGAGAGAGAGAGAGGGAGGAGGAGAGGAGAGAGGATGGAGGAGAGTAGGAGAGAGAGGGGAGAAGAGAGAGGTGAGGGGGGGAGGGACGGTAGAGGAGGAGAGAGGAGAGAGGAGGAGAGATGGAGGGAGAGAAGAGAGGAGAGAGACGAGGAGGAGGAGAGAGTGTGGGAGGAGGAGGAGAGGGGAAGGAGAGAGGAGGTGAGAGGGATGGAGAGGGGAGAGAGAGAGCGGGAGGGAGAGAGTGAGAGAGAGGAGAAGGAGAGGGATGAGAAGAGGGATGGAGGGAGGAGCAGGAAGAGGGAGAGAGAGAGGAGAGGGAGAAGAGAGGGAGAGAGAGAGGTGAGGAGAGGAGGAGGGGAGGATGAAGTGAGAGAGAGGGAAGAGAGGAGGAGACGAGTGGAGTGTGAGGAGGAGAGGAGAAGAGGAGGGAAGGGAGAGAGAGAGAGAGAAGGGAGATGAGTGATGAGAGGACGGGAGGGAGAGGACGGGGGTGAGAGGACGCAGAAGGATAGGAGAGAATGAGGAGGGAGAGAGAGAGAGAGAGTTGGAGGGGGGGGAGGAAGGAGAGAGTGAGTGAGAGGATGATGGAGGAGTGGAGGGGAGAGAGAGAGGAGGAAGAGAGATGGAGAGAGGAGGGAAGAGGAGGGGAGAGAGAGAGGGTGGCGAGAGAGGAGGGAGAGGAGGAGAGAGAGGGAAGGGGGAGCTTGTGGGTAGAGAGGAGAGAGGAGAGGAACGAAGAGGGAAGGAGGAGGGGGAGGAGAGAGAGAGAGAGAGAGAGAGGAGGAGAGAGGGAGAGGAATGGAGATAAGAGAGAGAGAGAGAGAGTGGTGAGAGGAGGAGAGAGAGTGAGAGAAGAGGAGGAGAGGAGAGAGGAGGGGAGGAGAGGAGTGATGGAGGGGAGAGAAGAAGAGTGGAGAGGGGGGAGGAGTGAGAGGCAGGGAGAGAGGAGAGGAGGAGAGGAGTGAGGGGATGAGAGAGAGGAGGAGGAGATGAAAAGAGAGAGAGAGAGAGAGAGTGGCGAGAGAGAGGAGAATGAGAGGGGGGGAGAAGAAGGATGAGGAGAGGAGAGAAGGGGGTGAGAGAGAGGTGAGAGTGAGAGCCGAGAGGAGAGAGAGAGAGGAAGGAGAGAGAGAGAGAGAGAGGAGGGGAGGCCGATGAGGAGGAGAGAGAGGAGAAAGCCCCCGAGAGGAGAGAGGGAGGGAGAGGAGAGAGAGGGGGAGGAGGGGGGAAACGAGTGAGAAGGAGAGAGGAGACGAGAGCAAAAAGGGAGCGAGAGCATAGCGAGTGCAAGAGAGAGAGAGAGAGTCTGAGAGATGGCAGAGAGGTTCGGTGCGAGAGTGAGTAGTGGAGTGAGATGGGAGAGAGAGAAGAGAGGAGCAGAGGTGGAGGAGAGATGAGAGGAGTGAGGGGGGAAGAGCGAGAGAAGGAGAGCGAGGGTGTTCTGGAGGTCTGGCGGGAGAGGAGACGGTAGATGAGTGAGAGAGAGAGAGGGAGAGAAGAGAGAGACCCGAGTGAGGAGAAGCGAGGTGATGATGAGGAAGATGGAGGAGAGGGGGGGAAGGGGAAGATGAGATGAAGACGAGAGATTTGATTTTGATTTGATAACATTTATTTACAGAACAGTGTACATGCCCTGCAAAAAGCCAGGGTAAGATACCAAAGTATCATCCATAAATGGCTGTGCTTCTATTGTGTAGAGGGCCATTGGTCAAACATTGTGTTAAATACATGCCTGACGGGCTGTTTCTATTATAACAATATTAAATTATAATCTGACTGGTTAAAAAACCTTTTACATACTAATTCATGTCAAAGACAAGACCTGTGTCTATAATAAAGTTAATATAATCTACGAGGCTATTCTAGTGAACAGTACTATTTGATCGATAGGATGCAGTCTTTATGCAGCAGAGTAAGTAATGAGTGAGATTATGCGACTTGGGTTCCTTGCACAGTTTGCAATGGTGATATGAAACAGGTTTTGCATCCAAAACTGCATCCTGTACATATTGTATAGTGTACTGATATCCAGAGAGAGAGCAAGAGCAAGAGCGAGAGCGAGAGCAATAGCGAGAGCGAGAGAGAGAGAGAGAGAGGGAGAGAGAGAGAGAGAGAGAGAGGAGAGAGAGAGAGAGATGAGAGATGAGATGAGAGAGAGAGAGAGAGAGAGAGAGAGAGAGAGAGAGAGAGAGAGAGAGAGAGAGAGAGAGAGAGAGAAAGAGAGAGAGCGAAGGTAGTGGCGCCATCGTCCAAAACCGGGCCGTTTAACACCAAATAGTACGCATTAAGGTGCTACTTAC